GTCATAGAGACTTGGATGTTGGTTCCATCTGGACTAATGTGGGGATGCCCGATCCATTGGTACCACCCCCGAGCTTCTATGAACACCCCATGTGTTTTCATAGGTTAGATTTGAGTTGTATTGATCAAAACAATGGAACCAGTACTGGAAAGCTAAAGTTTAAATTAAATTACAAGAAAAACAGATATTCTGTGGTTTCAATATTGGAACATGTAAAATCATTTACATTGAAATTTAAACACAGGAAAAAAGCAGTGAACTGGTTCTCAGCACAACTACACAACTAGTCTTAAGTGTTGTGTTACCTGTTGACATGGTTACTTGTGCTGTGAGCAAGACAAGAGACACGAGTCCAGCTGTTGGCAGTGACACAGCCATCTCATCTGCAGACAAAGTAGATCCAGTTGCATATAAATGAAACCCTGGGTTAATCAGTAAAACACAAGGAAACACACACACACACACACACACACACACGTTACAGCAGAAGATCTCACCTGACAGGTGCGAAACTCTGACATGTGAAATATTGGAAATATTACTTTCTCTCTACCATCAACTCTCACGGGTGATCTGTACCAAACCATTGAACACTTCCTGTAACGACACTGTTGAGTCATGTGACTTATGTCATGTGAACACCCATGCAATAACCGGTCCCCAACACCAGGGGGCACTGCACCTTCAAATAGATAATAAAATAAATCCATGTTGCTAAATCTATACTGTTCTGATCACGTTCAAGATCATCGTGAATGTTTTTAGACTTTTGCAGCATGTATGATCCAAATAAAAATGTCAATGACATTATCTTAGAACAACTTTCCACCACCTCTGCATCACTTTTTATTATCAATTTTTCAAGTTGTATGTGGAAATATATAGTCAGTGTCATCTATATATTCATCCATCTATCCATCCTAATGCAATTAAAGATTGTAGGAAGATGTTCATAAACAGAACCACTCAAGCAGAAAAGAAAAATATACAGTTTTACAGTGAATTTGAAATGATCAGGAGAGAAATGTTCAGTACACATTTTATTATCAAAGCAACATACATGCATCATAATTTACAAATGATAGACGTGGACATTGGTAAGTTTGTATATTCCCAGGACACTGATATCTCTGTGTGATGTTGTGTTTCTCTGTGTTTGATGATTTCAGTCTGTCTGTGACTTCATAGGGAGGAACAAATTCTTTCCATCATGGTTGGATTTCTGTTGCTCAAAAAAACGAGTTCTTTCTTCCCTTCCTCTGTCTGACCTGATGGAAAAAAAATAAATCAAAGTTAGTCGAACAGTGTCACTTAAATTATTACATCATAGTAAAAGCATCAATGTCACTGTCACTTACTCTGTGGATGCTGCAGCCATTTGCGGTCTATATAGTAAAGATAACAGCTCTCAAACTCCCTCTCGCTGTAGTTGGGCACTGACACCGGGATAAATGGGTCCATGTTGTCGAAACCCGTCTGGTGAAAAAAACAGACAGGAGGTCAAAACACAGGAAATCAAACCAGTCGTCTTCATGCAGAGACACATCGTATGTTTCAATAGCATATAAAAGGTATGAATGAATAGAAGTCTAAATGATTAACACTATGCAATAATAACATCAACCATTTTTATTTAGTAAAATGTTTTTGACCCTTCTTTCAGTTTTATGGTTCAGTCCTTGTCCTCCATAAATGGAAGCGACAGCGATGGATTTATTGGTCCATTAGTAAATTGATCTAGTTAGATGCAGCAGACATCAGATAAATATGACGGCAATAAATAATCTTGTAAAAACCCACTGCGACAACACAATAGCACAACACTCCCAGCTTTCAGGCTTTTAAACTGAGCAAGGCAGACAGGATGAGGACACACTGACGCATTCAAAATCTTAACCTAAGCTGGGCTCTGATCACAGGAGTTGAAAAACAAAAAGATTTTGAAATCGGGTTGCATCAGGGATATAAGCAAAATATCCACAGACATTCTTCTGTATAATCTTAAACCCACAGCACCAGATTAGAGAATAATATCACTCTACAGGATATCATTAAGACTATTGCTCCAGAGGCAGCGAGGCACACTAACGTCTCATGTGACCTCATGGAGACGTAAACACAATGGAGAGCAGCTTGCAGCAACAACTGGCTCAAATGCTAACAAGCAGGAAGAGAAGGTAAAATAAAGGCTGATGTCACAATAATGTTTTCTGTTAATATTATTGTGTGTTACACTAAAAATCATCTTTGGCCCCAGAAGCCTGATAAACGGAGCGGTGCAGTCATGAGGTCAGAATTGCAATTTCCTTATTAATAACCAGAGTTAGTAACGAGAAGGAAAGATGAATCTGCTGTCAGATCTTGATGAGAAGTTCTATAGATAAACGTTTGATAAAATGACTTCTGACCTCTCCCAGCAGCTCTTGAGGCAGGTAGGCAGATTTAGAAATGAAGAGAGACCCCGTCTGAGACACAGTGGTGATGATAGCGCCTCCGGTCTGAGAAAAGAGAGTCCGTGTTATGGAAACATAAAGAAAAAGTAATATTCTCATGTAAGTATGGTCAATGCCTTTAGTGTGTTCTTCTCACCCAGTCATTCTTCATCAGCTTCCTCAGGTTATAAACCAAAGTCAGCTCCTCTGGCTCCACCTGATGAAACAGAGACACATAAAACATCCTGTCTGTGGAAACATAGACGGATGAAGACGAGGATGAGGCATGACAGGATTGCATATATGTTTTCTCACCGCGCTCTTATCCTCCTTCTTGATGGTTGATCTTCCCCAGAGGGCGTTGACACCATCTACAGCCACGGCTAAGCGAAAGTTTGACTCCGGCTGGCCGCTTTGTAGCCTCAGTTCCTTCATCACTGCCCCCACAACATCAGTGCTGCTCTTCACACGAGATATTCCCTGTGGTAAGGACACACAATCAAAACCTGATACAATAGTGACAATGCACAACTCTCAGCAGGAGAAAATCTGTGAAACAGAGTTATGGAAAAGTAGTTATGTTAAAAATCTTGGACATTGGAACCACCTGAGCAGGTAACAGACTGACCCTTGTGACAGCTTGTGGACAAAAACCAGTAGAAAAGCTAAGAACTGAGTAGACCTGAGGCCTGTACTATGAAGCAGGAGTTGCGGTTATCAGGGAACTTCCAGTTCAGTTCAGGGTTTCCAGTCCTGCAAAGCTTGTTTACATAGTGTCAGGGTAAATCACCATGGTAACTTATCCTGAACGGCTAACATGCTCCAGAGCAGGTTAAGTTAGAGATAAGAGATCAACCAGTATAGAAGGTCTGCCCACAGACCAATCAGTTCTTTTGAAACATGACATCAGCGTTCTTAGAGAACAATAAATAAGTAAAAGGATCCGGTGGAGCTTGATTGTTAGAGGGATTGTTCTCTGAGGAGGACAAGAGTCTTAGAGACCAACAAAATCCTTTAACCTACTTTGATTAGTATCTTAATGAAAGCTATAGACTCTCATCATTTACTTGTGGGAGTTACTGATATTAATGTAGTGGTTGTGTTAGCGGTGGGATAACCAGACATAGTTTTATGCTCTTATCCTTCCCTTTGGTTAGGTTCATCCTATAAGATTAAATATTTATTTGGAATGGGAAGTAGACAGCTTACAGATTTACCTTGACAGCCCCTATCCCTCCCTCAGAGAGGGTTTAATGAGCATTGATTATTATGTAGGAATAAAATGAAAATGTAGTCCTCAGTAAACAGTAATTTATTGCAAATTGGTTTAATTTTAAGCCTCTAAAGGCCAAACTGTTTAATACAGATGCTAAAACCAGAGATGTGAAACAAAGTCAGTGAGAAATAAAATACCACAACTGTCAGTCTAACCTGCTTTGTCTCATATTGTGCTGTCAGATGGCTGATGATATGAGATCTAACCACATTAAAAGCCAATACTGAGCTCACAGTAACAGCATCACCTAAAAATAAACCCACTGACAAACCAGACATAACCCGGCCATGTTGATGTCTCAAAGTGTTCTTTATCTTACAGCAAATCAGAAGTTTAACAACAGCAGAGAAAAAGGAGAAATCCACAGGCTGCACATAAATTTACTGCTCTTTCTGCCACTGACAGTGTGCAGTACAAAAACATTGTGCTGATCCATCACCCTGCTCAGTTCATCGGCTATCGATCAGCACTAAGCACAGGCCAGGTGAAAGATGAAACTTTAATGACCCCTTTGGGGCAGCTGCTAAGGCAGAGAGAAAGAACAGCAAACAGATAGAATTAAATCGTGGAGGGTGAGATAAACTACATCTCCTACTGCAAAAAAACAGATACTGAACATGCAGAAAAATAAAGAGAGCACTCACCTGATCCACCAACTGACCCAGTGAACTCCCCTCCTCTGTGAACTCCCTCTTTGTCCACACATAACGCTGCTTTGTCTTTATCTGGGAGGGAAACAGCACAATTTCACTCACTATTTTTATACTAACAAGGTTTCCAGTGTTTCTTTCACCAAACATTTGAAATGGAAAGTAAGGCTTGTGTTATAAATCGTACAATTATCATTCTCATAAATGTCTCAAGAATTTCCAAACTGCACAATGGTATCTTTCTAATGGCATTAATTGCATGTGTAAATATGTTTAAGACTGTGATTAAATCAATGGGGCCAAAGTAAACACTCTATATAAAGTACGAGAGTAAAGAGTAAAGTTAACATCCTAAATTGTCCAGAAACATTATCGGATCAGTCTGTAATGTGGCTGTTTACTTAATTACATATAAGACAGTATTTTGATTAATATGTTTCTTACAGTCATTTACAGGTTATTAAAACAATTATTCCATATATGTTCTTTTTTTACAAATACATTTTTTGTGCTGAATATTCAAACAATGAACCTGAATTTATCAAGCTGTTCTCTTAGTACTGAGAAACTGTATCTAAAACTTTTCTTTTCACATTTGCACAAGAGTGGATTCAGGAACTTTCATCCAGCAGTTTAATTGCTTTATCTGTCTCAAACTATAGGCAGAGACAGACTGGTTTCATCTGCTGTTTTATTACAGCGTGCTAATACCAGGATCGTTGAGAAAGAACTAAAACATAGAGAGATGTTACAAACTATGTATATCACAAGGACATTTCTCTTAAAATGTACAAAGAATTGAAGTAAGACTCAATTAAATATATTTAAGACTTAGTGCCTCATATTTCAACATATTTAAGACTTTTTAAGGCCTAAAATTTTGATTATTGAAAATACAGAGTGTCAGACTCTGCAGAAACCCTGATAAAGGCACACTGCCCAACAATTGTTTACCTTTGAAAGGAACTGCTCATTGGTTATTTTGAAATCGCGCAACCATTCCGCAGCTTGTAATGGTTGGTCAAAGCGAGAGCTCTTAAAGGACGAGGGCAGCAGCTCTTTACAGTTCTTCACCCACAGAAAGCCTGCATTAAAAAAAAGAACACAGAAAAGATGTAGAAGGTTAACTCCGGAAACTCTCTGTTTACCAGGCAGCAGCAATGAATCATGTGTTACTGTGTTTGTCTCACAGTCAGGAATGTGCAGCACCAGCCACCCCTGTGTGTGGCAGAAGTGGACTGTGTGACAGAGAGACATCGTCTTCCCGCTGCCCCTCAACCCGTCTGAGCAACTCTAATGTAAGGTCAACAATAGTCATCAAATCACAGAGGTTGTTCACTCTTCTGTCTGTGTGTGTTTGCTTTTAAGGATACAGAATAAATATCTGAGCGCCGGTTTGCTGTAGTCTGCTTTCTTCAGGTAAGAGATGACCTCCAGAGCCGGCTGCCTCACCATCATACAGGCTTCATTGAACGTCTTCACCTACAAAACCAGGCATTAAATCTTGTCGTCATTGGAAACAGTTGAACAAAGTCACCACAGTCTTTATCTATGTAAAATAAATCAAACTTGTGTTTATGCAATGACACAAACAAGTTCCCACCTGTTGTTGATAGCGCCAGGGGAGTCCATGAGGGAACGCAGTGCTGATGTGTGCGGAGGGCAGAGTGTAATACTGTCCGATATGTTTCTCCGACTGAAATTCCTGGAAATGCAGAAATAGTGAAGAATTATTAAAAATAAATACTGCTACAAACACATATCTGATGCAGGCAGGAAGTTTAACGATGTGGTCAATGTCTCTTAGCACCATGGTGATGATATTCACCGTCTGAATACTCACTGGATTATTTTCCTGTGTCCTGAAAACTGAGAAAGGTTCAGGTTCTGAATCTACAGCCACAGACTCCAGCTGCTGCGCACATCCAGAGGTGTGAAGGCTCCTAACATGTGTCACCTGGAGATATTCAAAAAGAATTTTATATTTGACAGGAAATGCTTTAATTTCAGAGACTGAAATCAGAGAATATGTGTCAGTTTATCCTCTTAACTTAAAAAATAGTAATCGATAGTTTTTCTATATATCAT